GCTTCAGGGCTGTGTCTCAAGGCAAATGTTCATAATGCTCTCCTTTAAAAAGAAATGACATCAGGATGGAGCCATGGCTTGGTGGTAGGACACTCATCCAGCATGTGCAAGGACCTGGGTTCAATTCCCAGCATGGCAAAAAATGTCACAGGATTGGGGGAAGCTTGGTAACACCCACCAGTCATGCCCATAACGGAAAACAGAGCCTTAGTGTCAAAAGCAGCCCACACCTTCAGGACAACACCCAGTGATGAGAGCCGGTTCTCTGCAGCAAGGCATGGACAGGTCCAGGGCTTCAGTCACTCCTGCTCCTGTCATCACAGCTCAGACCCACATGTCTGCCCTTCCTGGCAATCATAGCCTAGCCTGGGCCAATCAGCACCTCATTCCTCTACAGGATATTGACTCAGCTAGCCCACCACCATGTGAAAGCGCCACACTCTACCCACTAGGCATGATTGTCCATGGCTCCCCTACAAGGTCTTCCATATGATGTCATAGTTCCTCATTGGATTGAAAACGAAGCCTTGGAATGCAGTCAAAGCCAGTCCCAAACTCCACATTATCCTGCCTCAGCCTCCCCAGGGCTGTGATTCTGAGTAGGTGCCACTGGACCTGGGTTTGCACAGCTTTTTGTGCTATATTTTATAGCCTAAACCACTTCCTGTATCAGAATGTGACATATGGAAGGCAAAAGCATTAAACCTAGTAACTGTTGAAAAACATTTCTCCTCTTCCCCATTGTCTTGTAAAAATACAACAACCCACAGACAGCACTTTCTACTAGGAGGTGTACATTAATGTGACACAAGAAAAAACAAGAAACATAAAGGTGGAAAGAGACTGACAACAGCACTATGAAAAAGTACTGCTGTTTCATAATCAAGATTTGAAAATTCACACACAGAAAGAGGCACAGTCAGCATCCAGGCCCCGCTATTGTGGAAGGTAATGTCAATGGGGTAGGGCAGAAGGCCCGAAAGAGGGTGTTCTCAGGGTAGGGGCAGTAAGGTACACTGTACCCCACATGTTCCTACAGATGTTGCCTCTGGAGAGAGGCTGCAGCCCAGGTCCCGTTCACAGTCAAGGCTAGCACCTTGATACCTGTCCACAGATACACTCTTGGACCACCTGCCACCAATTCTCAATTCATTTCATACCCTTCCAAACCGCCTGTCCAGCTGGGCAGTGATGGCAGAAACAGGAGGATCTCTGTGAGTTTGAGGCCAGCAGCCTGGTCTAAAGAGTGAGTTCCAGAACAGTCAAGGCTACAAAGAGAAACCCTGTCTCAAAAACAAACAAACAAACAAACAAACAAACAAAAAAACCCAGGTTGCCTGTCCTAGAACATCCACCCCAAGGTAATGTCCCCAATCACATCTCCAGAGTACATAGCTAACAAGAGCTGTAGCTCTGTCCCAACAATAATTAACAGTGTATCCCACTCTGTCTAACACAGCCTTGCTTATTTACCTCTCCACCCAAGGAAACTGTACTCAGGAATGGACGTCAATATGCTCTATCTCCAGACACAACTTTCCATTGTGTACTTACTGAGTCTCGCAATTAAAGAATGATGTATTACACATCAGGGGTTTCTTCCAATTATGGAAACGGCTTATATTATTATCTATGGATGACAACAGCCACAGTTGCCGCCTTTTCACTTGTCTCTGGTAAACACAGAACACTTTCTGGTATAGAGAATTTTTATACACATTGCCTCCCAGTGACTTCACACATGGGCAGTACCAAGCCAAGATGAGATAGCCACAGGGCTAGTAGTGACTCCATCAGGTAACCCAGGGCCCAGGCACACAGCCCTTCCCACCCACAACTTCCCCATTTAGAACCGCCAATGCTTGCTTCTAGCCTCATCAGAAGGAGCAGCACATCAAAATACCAAGAGATATTTGTTTGTTTGTTTTGTTTTTTGTTTTTGTTTTTGTTTTTGAAGACAGGGTTTCTCTGTGGCTTTGGAGGCTGTACTGGAACTAGCTCTTGTAGACCAGGCTGGTCTCAAATTCACAGAAATCCGCCTGCCTCTGCCTCCCGAGTGCTGAGATTAAAGGCATGTGACACCACCACCTGGCCCAAGAGGTATTTTGATAAATACATTTGATATATCTAGAGGAACCAAAAGCTAAAAGATAAAGAGGGCTGAGGGTGTAGCTCAGTAGAAGTTACTTGTGCAAGCATGGCAACATGGTTCTAATTCAAGCCCCTCAGAAACAAAACGTTATTTCCAATAACTTACTGTACCTCATCCCTCAGTAGCTAAAACCCCTTTGTCAACAACTGGTCTGTATGGTGAAGCTAACAAATGATGGGCATCACCAAATATGGCAACTCTTCTCTCTGAGAAATCATGAACTACTGTCTAACTCTCGACTTCGCACAAGGTAACCTGTGTTTGATACCGAAGCCAATGAAATAAGAGAAAGCTGTTAGAGCTGGAAATGAATGGTGTATGTTTAAAGATACTAAGTATAAACCTCATGAATCTTTTCTAATAAAGGTTACCTTTTGGTAAGCATGTATTTGAGATACATCTGTTATTAGTTACTTTATTACTGCTGTGATAAACCCCCATGACCAAGGCAGGCTAAAGAAGAAAATGTTTATTTGGGCATATGGTTCCTGAGGGATGAAAGTCCATCATCATCACTGAGGGGGAGCATGGCAGCATGTATGGTGGCTAGAACGGAAAGCTGGGAACTCACACCTGGAGGCACAAGCATGAAGCAAAGAGAATATACTCGGAATGGGGCACAGCTTTGAAACCTCAAAGGACACACTTCCTCCTTCAAGGCCATACCTCCTAAACCCACCCAAACTGCACCACCACCAACTAGGAACCAAGTATTCTGAGCAGGTGGGAGGCATTCTCATTTAAGCCATCACAACTTTATCTCGCATTCATGTATTTGGCACTTACTGTGGATCAAACCCAGCCTGCTGCCTGCCAGGCAAAGCTTCTACCTCTGAACCACACCCAGCCCCGCCTCCTTGTTTATATGAAAGGTCTCACTATTGTAGCCCAGGTTGGCCTCAGGCTCAAGATCCTTCTAATGTAGGCCTTCAAATGCCAAAATAGATTATTACTAGTAAGTGGGGTTGCAGGAGTAGCTCAACAGTACAGCATTTGCCTAAAAAAGTTCTCAGCAGTAGTGAACAGCACCTACACTGCATGTGCAAGGACCTAGATTCAGTCAAGAAGAAAAAGGAAGAAAACAAACAAGTCATCCAGCAGAGAAAATGCTATCCCTTGCCCAGATTCTAAACACAGCAATACAGCTTACTGTGTGGCCCAGCCAAAGAAAAGAATGAAAGATTGCTGCCATTTGAGTTCACGAGGTCCTCTTCCTCCAGCAAAAGCTGTAACTGAGACGCACCCTGCATTAGTCCACACTACTGCCCTGTGGGAACTGACAAACTTACAAAAGTTCGAACATTCTTCTGCATTCAAAACGTGGGGTCCCACAGAGTGCTCTGGGCCCAGCCACCTGCTTATATTTACTGCACACCAGACCAAATCTTGATTATTGAGCAATAGTGGGTGACCAAAAAAGTAAACCAGCAGTCACCTTCACCCTAAAAGAGATCTTAGGATTCTAAGCAGCCCCATTCAAACTCCCCAGTCTGACTTTTCCCAAGCAATTCCAGCACCCCATGAATTCAGCCCAAATCTCCAGGCCAGAGACTGCAAGTCACTGCTGCACATGCCCTAGGGCTTTCTCCTCAGGCTATGGGACATCCATGATGCTGAGGGCTACTGTCTGCTCTTTGTACCTAGGGCAGACAATCACTGAAGTTAGGCGGCTGCTCACTGCTCTGTGTCTATGGACACTATTGACTTCGCAGGGCTTCGCATTGTCCTGTATCTAGGGATACCCACTGAAATAGAGGGCTGCATGATGCCTTACCTATGCCTAGGGACACCTCAACGTTGACAGACAACCTGCTTGTGTCTGTGCCTAGGGGTCACCTGTGCTTCTTGCTGCCCTGAGTCCAGAGACACCGCTAAATCTGGGGGAGGGGCGGGGGGGACTGATGAGCCTAAAAGGGGCATACGAGCCGGCATGGGGGCAACTAAAACTGAAGTTCGGAGTTCCTTGCTGTCCTGTGCCAGGGAATCTGTGTGAGTTGGGGTGGGGGATGGCTGTTCGCTGCGGTCTGTGTCACTGTGCGCGCGAGTCCCTGGGTGGGGTTTAGATACTTTGGGGAGCTGAGCAAAAGTGCAACTTTTAAAGGAAAGAAGCAGCT